ACGGACTGCGATAGCTCGGGAAAATACGATTTCGTTTCGTATCTCCTGTCGTGGCAAGATATTCGTCCCACGGATATATTTCATCCGGTCCAACGTTGTATAATAGAAACAAGAAAAAATGGCAGCAAGGAGAGTCTCTCGGGTAGATTAGGGCGTGTCTGATGATCCGATAGGATGATTCAGTGACCTCGTTCGGACGTTCCCCACTCGACGTTCCGAGACGACCATAAAGGGACAGTCTCTGAGCATCTGTCTCAATCCTCTAACTTACCGTGTAACTAGGGGTAACAAGGATAAATGCGCAGACACACCGAAGTTTTCTCTCTCAATCTTAATCTCATATTACTGTCATATTCGACCAGACACGGTCAAACATCCTCTAGTTCAACATTCACGCCCACGCCGGTTCCGGTGCAAACGCTTCCGAACGAATTCCCGACAAACTATTTCCCCGAAGTAATTAAATGCATTAAAGAATTCTTCGAACGAGCCGATCCGTTGATCAATTTCCTCGCAATTAAGCAACTGCTCGACCAAGAATTCAAATCGATTCAAACTCTTTCGTTTGGCTATTTGCTTCTATAATCTTCCTGCAGCCATCTATTTTATATAATTTTTCGTGTCGAACGCATTGCGGTAAATATGATAAAAATTCGCGATCAAAGATAAGTTGACAAAAGTAACATCTTTTTATTTACGGTTTCGTTTTCGTGAAAAAAAGATGAGAATCGGCTGATCGTGATCTACCAATTCTACTTCTTGTAGAATTTTCTACCCGGCAGATTATTATACTTATTATTGCACGTGAAATTGCCACCCAACTGGTTGTACCACGATTTCTGAGACATCCTGTATAAGAGCAATATACAGGGTGTCCCAAGAATGTCTCGCATTCCGGAAATGGCGGGTTCCTCGGATCATTTGAAGCAACTTCTTCCTTTACAAAAATTTTCTCCGAGACACTGTTAACGAGTTATCAACGAAAAACAGTGACCAATAAGAATCGAGTACGGCCGATGCGAAGCGGCCCAGCCAACCAGCGCACGAGAAACCCAGTTCCACTCATTGGTTCGGTCGCCACGCGCCAGCTGAGCTCGCCTCTTATTGGTCACTGTTTTTCGTTAATAACTCGTTAATGGTGCCTCGGAGAAAATTTTTGTAAAGGAAAAAGTTGCTTCAAATGACCTGCGGAACCCGTCACTTTCGGATTGCGAGACATTATTGGGACGCTCCGTAGAGTCTCTTGCATCTTTGTATGATATTCGATCCTTGCAAGCGCTCCTATGCTTTCGATAGGGCATTCATCTGTGAGAACTTTTGCTGCAACAAGGTTTCTTTAAAATACGTAAAGCGAGGCTTGTTCTTCGCGTGAATACGCATCGATAATTTTCAGTACATGAAAAAAACGAAAGAATCGGATGAGACTGATTGAGTAATATACATTTTTTTTGAATCTCTAGGGTAAGATTTGAAAGAAACAAAATAGATTGGATTTATTAGATGAATATTTGATTATCCGAACAATTAGGACTACGTAACTGTATAATACAATCTCCGTGATTCATTCATGGCAACTCCAGACGTTCATGGCATTCATTCAAATTAAACTTTGTTATTGTTCCTCCATATTATCTGTAAGATAATATGCAAGTTTGCTTTCCTCGACAAATTTAACTCTTTGCCACCTGTATCTGACGGCTGGAAGCAAATTAGCCGAGGGAGGGACGATGTTTAAAATCTGTACGCGACAATTTATCGGGAAAAATGTCGCAGTCTGGAAGGCCGGCTATAAATTCAGCCCAGTTAAACATCGACTGGGAGCCGGCCAGACAAAAGCATCACGCAACGTGGACGAACAAACGTATGCTAATATCGCTAGTGCATCGTAAAACCGTGCGCGCTTTCTCTCTCTTTTTCTCTTTCTTCTCTCTCTCTCTCTCTCTCTCTCTTTGTCTGTCTGGTCGTTTCAGACTCGAGCACTGGCGGTCCTGATAGCCCTTAAGTTCGATTAGCTCGCGCACTGCTCGAGTCGTTTAATTGTCCCGACTGTGTATCGAAGAGGTTACCCGAGGCGGTCAGGCAGAAATGAGGGAAGAAAGAATTTTATAACTCTCGAGGAAGTTTTTCCCGTGTTGAATCGCCGCGGATCAATACCTCGACGGTCGTAGAAACGTACTCTCCGAACTCGCAGCCACTTCCAGTCCGATTGAAAAATAACTCACGCCTTTTCGGTCAAAGGAGGATCGAAACTTCCTCTCCTCTCGTTCTCACCCCCACTCTCTCTCTCTCTCTCTCTCTCTCTCTCTCTTTCATTTCCTTATTTCGCCGAGATGGGTATGCGCAAATACCATTTCGAATAGCTAATATCTTATTGGTTCTCGAACGGTGTTCGAATCAACTATTCTATTTGAATTCATGTTCTCTGAAAGCCAGATCAGATCGGCTATTTTACATCAATCTATTTCCTCTTATTTTCTCACAACGTTAGACGGTTTATTCCGTGCGAGACAGTTTTAAGTGATGTTTTTAAGTCGCGGTTACGTCATCCGTTGCACTTTGTTAACTGTGTTACAGTAGTTCGACTTCGAATAGAAGCGACTTGACATGTTTAACACTAAACCAACCACGAGCGGCCATTTTGACCGGATTCGCATTTTTTGATTTCAAGATTCTTGACGTTATAAAGACTCTTTTATAGGGGATTATTGAATTGATTTCTAAATCCAAGCGTACATTATAATAAAATTGATGAAACATCTGAATACATTCAATCTTGTCATACTTATAAAACAACACACTTCTAGTGGTCGGTAGATTCAATGTTAAATATAGTTTTGATAGTATACACATAGTATAAGTTTGGTCCCAACCTCTCTGGACACCCTGTACACACGCCGGTCTATTAAAATGAAATTACTTTATTATATACAGCAGATTACGGAAATAAAAAGACTCGATTCTATGGACGAGACCATTGAGGCAAAAAGGTCTCATTCGATATACATATAAAAGTGTATAAAATCGCTACTATAGCCGAGCTCTAAAATCTACTTCTCGAAAATCTGCTTAAACATCGTTCTTTAAAAGTTCGCCCGTATCTGCAGAGTTTAAACTTGCGAACGCTCGCAACTTTCAGCGAGGACGAAAACGGACGGCTGAATCCTTGGCTCGCTATAGAGAGCGATAAATCACTTTACGTTTATTCGATAATCCCTCTACGGACGTTCGAAAGAGTTTCGAATCGAGTTTGACCGATGTTTCGGTCGGGAACCTGATCACACGTGCCGCGAACACGGTCTTTCGGAACGGGCGAAGCAGTCACGGGGTTGGCGAGCTGCCTGCTGCACTTGACCCTGCACTTGCACCCGAGCTCGTGCGGCTTCTGCATCGCGCGGGGTCACGGACGATTCCCATTTTAAACGGGATCCGCGCATCGACGTCTACACGGCTCGCTCATGTGTCGGGACACGTGCGAGTGCACCAGCCTCTCACGCACCGACACGTGTGCACGTGCGCGTACGAGTGCACGCAATCGACTTTCCAACTGCATCTCACGCGGGACGCCCGTGTTTTCACGCTGCCCGCGATATAGTTCAATGGACCGTAGTTACGATCGCCGGCCGGGTTTATTGAATGACGGCTGTTTCACGCGAGTGCTCGGTCAGCCGACGACAATTAAATGATTATGCACAACTCGTAATTGTTGGAACGAGTCCAAGCGCGTGGATAATACGATGTTCCACCGGAGAAATGAAGATTCGCACAGTTCTGAAATAGATCGTTTCGTAGATCGATAAATTACTGATTCGATAGTTATTTGAATTCTTCTCGTCGTTCTACGACGATTCTTTTCCTGATAAAAAGTAAAGATAAAAATGTTTCGAGTCGGGCATGGATCGAAACATTAATTAAATTTTGTAAATGTACTTTATTCGTTGGCGCCTATTATTTATATAACATTAATAAATATAGTTATAGATTCGTATTAGATCATGCGCGTTCCGCTGCTTTCGACGGCAAGCTTTCATTGACAAAAGGAATTTTTACGCAATCGTTACATCGGTTGAATTTATCCAAGATCGAAACCGCTGGATCTTACACGCTCTCGATACTGTTAATTGAACTAATTAATGGTCGGGGATGCTTCTAAAGCGGCTTTGAAGCGGCTTCCGCCGTCGGTTAGATTCATTAATTGCACTCAAGGTGTACAAGACCCGGCAACTAAGATTCGGAAGAAGCTCAATTAAACGATCTATGTAATACGATAAGAGGAACGTAATTCGATCACGTAAAACAGCGAATTTACGATTCTCACGACACGAAGTACTTTTCTTCGCCTTTTTCTCGAGGCAGTTAGAAATCCGCGCTCTTCGATATTCTCACGGAAGAAAACTCGTGCAAAACGAGCACGGTGCCCGAACATTAATTCCCATTTCAAAAGGGCAAACTTCAGTTAAAATCACCGCACGATAAAAATCGCTCTAATAAAAAGCTTATTTCCGTTATCTTTCTCTTTGTGCCATTCTCATATTTTCCTTCGCAGGCAACCAGGTGGAAAACAGTAATCCCTTTTACAAAAGATCCTAAAGCGACGTAAAAACTAGCTCGGCGGAACCACTTCAAACGCGATGAAAGTTGGCCGGCTTCTCGGAAGCAAAATATTATTGCTCGAAGATTCTGCGGCAGACATTTTCCCGGCAATTTTCCAATTTTCTTATCAAGCATCGCGGTCGATCAATTATCCCGGCAACGCTTTTGAACGAGCGCGCCGGAACGAACGCGTGTGCCATAAACCCCAAGATAAAGATCTCGACAATCGACAGCATTGTAATCGAGGTTTCCGGGAACGGTACATCAATTTCCACGGCGCCGATAAAATCACGCCCGTACATACATGTATATATATATATTCCTTTCCGCAGTTTTTCCGGCTCTCATTCCCAACTTGTATCGTCGTCGAACTCCTCCGCCGGTCGGATACGCGTGAAACCGGTGCCGGTATGCTGGCCAAGTTCATCAATATCCATCTGTTAGCGTGTCTAATCTGGCACGCCCATGGGAAATACGAGTTCCTCGATCGAAACAACTCCCAACAGATCGAGACGATCGTTTCCTGCGTGAACGATACCGCGAGGAGACTGTTCAACCCTGAGAGGAGGATCGACTTGATAGCCCACGGGACAGGGACCTTGATGGATAAGATTGTTAAGGTCTGTACGAACTCACAGATTACATGTGTCGAACAATGGAATAAAACCTTAGATGTAGAGTAAATTCCCCCTAACTGACGCTCAGATTGTACAGAAAAATGGACGATTTGGGAAGAAGAGGTACGATTAATCGAGCCTTGCGGCTTGTTTTTATAGTTGTTGACAAGCGGTAACTATAAAAACGAGTCGCAAGACTCGATTAATCGTACCTCCTCTTCCCAAATTGTCCATTTTTGTTTCCAAGCTGAGCGTCAATTAGAGAGAATTCACTGTAATCGCGGGAATACAGCAAATTCTCCCTAATCGACGCTCAGATTGTACACACAAATGGACAATTTAGGATTATTCGAGCCTTGCGGCTTGTTTTTATAGCTGTTGACAATCGGTAACTATAAAAACGAGTCGCAAGACTCGATTAATCGTACCTCCTCTTCCCAAATTGTCCATTTTTGTTTCCAAGCTGAGCGTCAATTGGAGAGAATTCACTGTAATCGCGGGAATACAGCAAATTCTCCCTAATCGACGCTCAGATTGTACACACAAATGGACAATTTAGGATTATTCGAGCCTTGCGGCTTGTTTTTATAGCTGTTGACAATCGGTAACTATAAAAAACTCGAATAATCGTATTTCCTCTTCCCAAATTGTCTATTTTTGTTTCAATGCTGAGCGTCAATTGGGGAGAATTTACTATATTTTGTGACTGTTTATATCTATATGCAAGAAGCGTTTACTTTCTACATTATACAGAGTGTCCCAAAAGGAAACGAGGGTTTTCTGAGGTTATTCGAAGTTACTTTTTCCTTGGCGCAAATGCAATCCGTGGCTTTGTTTTTCATTAATAACTCGTAAACAAAGCCGCGGATTGAGTTTGCGCCAAAGAGAAACTAACATCAAATGACCCTAGGAACCCATTGTTTTCCGATTGCGAGTGACTTTTTGGTCACTCTCTACCGCGCACTATCTCAAGAGCGTGTGCACGAAGTCTGAAACGTTTGCGTTATACAACAAGAAAGTTTGAGAAAGGACAGCGTAAAAAGAACCGATATTTTCGATTGTTATTTCCTGGATAAAGGTACAAGCCCATAAATGAAAATTACAATTTATACTTCGAAGAATATATAATATAAGATATAAGATAAGAGTAGATTAATATAAGAAGATTAATATAAGATAAGAATATAAGATATCCGTATTTTGTGTTATATCTTTCCTTATTCGTTTTCGATGTAGATCGTCCCCATTACGTTTCATACTTTCCTTAAATTCGTCGCTGCTGTCACATCATCTCGCACTCGTACAAACTGACCTTGCTAAATCTGTCCACATATTTTCAAAAGCCGGGTGAGTCAGTCCGGAACAAAGGAATTTGGGGTGCGAACGTTAGGTGACTCACTCCGCGTATATCGCAGAATAAATTTGTTCAAACATCTCGTATTTATCGAACAACGTGCTTTCCAACAAGGTCTTTTCCAAGGACTCGACCGTTCTGATTGCTACCCGAATGCTGTTGATGATGAACGAACGTATACCGAGTTACGTAGTGATCGAGACGGACGGGTTACGCGGCACCCGAGGAATGCTGCTACCGGCTGCACCGATGCAAACCACGCTGCAGTACCTGATCGTTACCAGGACCGGAAACGACGACGTGCTCTCGTTCGCCATAGATTTGCGGAACGCCGGCTATCGGGACATCGCGTTCCTGGTGTTCGATCGCGGACCGTTCGGGACGGTGATCCGTGCGAATCAGACAGGCAAGGAGATTACAGCGAGATCCGTGGGATCCTGCAGTCCGGTCCACAGCGACGTCCACAGGATTCCAGCGTTCGCGACGGATACCCGACGCTACTGTCCATCGGGCGGATGCTCCGTCAAGTACGGAATGGTAGCGGACGAGACGGTCAAGTTCTGGCGCAAAGAGGACACGGTCAGGGTGACGGGTGAGCGAGCTGTGTTTTCGGCCTGGTGGCAGCGTCCGCCGCAGACAAATGAGCCGTTTATTTCGAAAGTGGCATAAGTCACTTTGTTCTTAAGTCGAGATATTTAAGGGTTTGCGTTTTAACACATGCTAACTTTCGAGAAGATTTACTTGTATTTGTTATCTCAGGATGCTGATATTTTTCTCAGTATAAATAATTTCGTATAAACATTAAAAAATCACCACTTTTCATTACGGTAAAGTGACTTAAGTCACTTTCGAAATAAATAGTTTAGAAAAATGACTGACATATATTAATTTTGTCCGACGTATTTTACCGAAGTGATGTTTTGAAAGGACAGTGATTTACTAAAATTGTTGAATAAATTACATATATAATAATAATTTATACCATGAACATATTTAATATAAAGGTTTGATTTAAGTATTTTTTATTTTAATATTCATAAAATACAAAAATAATTAGTACATTCTGAAACATAAGTATAAGTAATTTCTATGAAAATACATCGGTTCAATTTCATTTTCGTCATCGATAGGAGTGATTAAGTCCTCGGAAATCGTGTTTTGTTTCAAATTTTTAAAATAACTGTGGTATATTGGGGGTATATAATTAAGCAAGTCCATCATGTCTTTGTATTTTGCTGAAGAAACAGGACGAG